GATGAAGCTTTTGGCTTTTGTCCTTGGGTACTCATGTCCCAGGAGAAATTTGATAGTCAGCCCGTCTCCGAGGCCATTGGGAGTCAGATTATATAAGCTTAATTTTTGTTTTTCTTCAGGCAGACAGATTTTTTCTTCAGCCTTGAGTCCATCTGGGCGTTCTGGTTCCGAAAAAGCCTAATTGTGGAATTTCATTTCACTGATCCATGCTATGAGTCTCCTTCAAGGTCGAAGCCACCATGCTGATGAGTCCCAGAAGCCGCAGGTGGTCTGCGATTCTCAATCGCCTCCACTTTACGGTTAAGCTCGTAGACCAGACGATTTAAAGTTCCCACAGCGAGGACGAGACCTTCACACTGACTCGGACGCTTTTCCATGGCCAAAACTGCTCCCGCTGTCTTCTTCAAAAGTCGATAAAACAGAGCCCCACCGATGCCAAAAAGCAGAGTCCCTGCTATCATAAGTCCAAATATGTAAACATCTTCAACATCTTCTTGAGACAGTAGTGTAATGCACATCGATTGCCACACTCCCCACGAATCCATGACGTACCCCACAGCGTGAGTCTCAGCTGGACACTCCGGTTCCCCAGGACCTTGTCGTTTTGATGAAAAAATCTTATCAATAGAGTTGAACGCCCACGATACCAAATCCATAATCTTCTTAATTTATGTTCGGGAGATGAGACCCAGGCACTTCAGACAGACAGAGAGCAGAGCAGGAAGAAGGAAAAAAAAAACGAGGGAGGAGAAACAGAAGCTGCCACCTCGATCAGAGCCTGGGAGGAATCTCTCTAAACATTATAAATGATGGCATCCAAAATAATATCTTTAAATTAAGTTGTTTTGTATAGGGTTGGACGATATGGGAAAAACTTTTATCACAATATATTTCCTAATTTCGGTCGATAACGATAAAAATCAATATCGGTATAAACAATATAAAAGCCTCAGAAAAACTGTACAGACTACAAATAAATTAATGTTCACCTTTATTTGTATTTAGCCTTCAAATAAATTTTAAAATCACAGTCAAATAAGCATAAAACTCTCAACTTTGTCAATAATAATAGTTTGAACTTTAAACAACAACATAACCTAACAACACATGTAGCAACTGTCTGTGTTTTCTGCATGTGTTTCTCTTTTGATACAGCTGGGGGGTGTTGTTTCAGGGACACGTTGGCTCAAACTTTATTGTGCTCCATCATGTGACTCTCAGCATATTTTATCGAGTGGAACAAGTTACTGTATATCAAAATATCGAAAATGTGCTTAAAACTCATATCACTGTTGTTGAGTAAAAGTATATCATGATATATCGACATCGAATTATTGTCCAGCCCTAATCTTGTACATTTATACTGACTTACCAAAAAAGTTCACACTTTCTTTAAAATTCCATCAGGTGCTTTTAAATGTAAAAAAAAAAAAAAAAGCTCCAGGTTAATGAGCAGAGGATTTTGTAGAAATAAAAATCATCTTCAAACAGGATATTTCCTTTAAAAATAGATTACATCTCAGTACTTTAATCTCCTTTTCACACAACTAAAAATTTAAAAGTACATGCACCAGAAATGGCAGCAGGGTCAAAAATACTAGTTGGGGGAGCATAAACTCTGATTCTCTCTACAAATATTAAACCAATGTATTCTATTGGAACAGTACACGAGGAGTCATAGCCAACTTTCCATTAGTTTTCTGTGTGCATGTCATAAGTCTCATAAAATAAACTGGACTTACGTATGTCAGTTAGTTAGGTGTCAGTCAGCTTTTGTATAAAATCAGACTACACTGTATGTGTTTTAGTAGCCGACAGACTGTATCTGTGAAGACAATCTTTAATTTCATGTAACTCTTTATGTCTTATGTTGTGAAAGTTCTGTCTTGTGTCATTTCTTTAGATTCTTGTGTTTTCTGTCTTTCCCAGTGTTTCTTCCTTCATGTTGTCAGCTCCTGCTTCACCTTCTCCCAATCCCATTCACCTCAGGTGTTCGTCATTTTGTCTCCTGTGACCATATAAGTTCTGTCTTTGTGTTTTATTGTCGTCCATGTACTGTATTGTATTTCTCAGTCTGTCGTGTCGTGTCATGCAGGGCAACTGTATTAATTTTAACTTATTTTTTTTTTATCCTGTAGATATTTAAAAGATATTTAGGTCTTTGTCACCCAAGTTCCACAATAAAAATACTGTTAGCACAAAATACCTGTTGAGCTATGATGCATTCATGCACCAAGACAGAATGAGTGCCAGATCTACCAGTGTTTGGCCAAACGAATAGTATGTTGTAGAATTTTTCATTATTATTATCATTATTATTATTTCTGAGAAAGAGGCTAGACACAGCTCACTTACTTTGTTCTTGCTCGCTCAATTCACGTCTTGGATGTTCATTTCAAGAAGGAACCTTTAAATAAAACTGCTCAAGAGTGAATAAAGATAACATTGAGAAGTTTGTATCACTCAGCTCTGAGCTGGATTTATGACCTTGCAATCCTTTGAAAATCTTTATTTTGCAGACAAAGATATATATTAAAGTGACAAGGATATTATATTTAAGTTTGTGCATTGCTTGTGAATTTAGACACTAAGAAATGCTCTCGAGAACATGTTTTAGTATTAAAAATAAGCTTTTGCAGTACAGTAGTTCCATCTTTTAAAACAAAGAACTACATTTACTGAATTTTGTTGGATTAACTTTGATTTGTGTCCCTTAATTCCTGTCAGATTATCCCAGATGACAATTTCTTGATCAGTAAGGATGGACCAATCTATAAACTGGAGATAATGAAATGCACAGAAGAACATTCAGGGAAATATCGTTTTGAAGCGGATGGTCGTAAAACAGAAGCGATGGTCAGCGTCAAAGGTTTAAGCAAACATGTTCAACACAATGCAATAAACTGAAGAATATCAGTCACATTTAAGTAAATAAAGCACCAAAACCAGTTGCAAATCCTTATTTCAGCTCTGAAATAAATCTCATTGTTTAGATCCTCCTCGGTTTGACCCTGAAGAACTCAAAGCTTTTACTGAGACGCTGACCGTTAAAGTGGGGCACCACGCCATATTCAAACTTAGGTTTGTTGGCCACAAGCCAATAAGAATCCAGTGGTACAGAGACGGAGAAGAGCTCCAGGAAGACAACAACACCAAAATAGAGAAATCATGGAGTCACAGCCGTCTGTTCCTGAGCAGATGCCAGAGGAAAGACACCGGAGAGATCAAGATAAAGCTGAAGAACGATCACGGGTTTACTGAGGCGGTCTCTCAGCTCGTTGTACTTGGTGAGTGACTTAAAGCAAGGCATAACCTGAACTTTATGTTACCAATTATAAGTCATGGTGGTACTGCTGCACTTGAACACATAGTAGGTGTTTTATTCCCTCATTTGTAGGCATTTTTACCATAATTTTATATATTTTTATAGCCTTTATGAAGCATTTTTAAATTTTTTAGACAAACCAACTTCACCTCTGGGTCCAGCAGAGGTGATGGAGAACTCAGCTTCCTGTATTGAATTCAAGTGGCGGGCTCCAAAGGATGATGGAGGCTCACCGGTGATTAATTACATGCTAGAGCGTAAGCAAGTGGGACGAAATACCTGGAAGAAAATAAAGGAAAATCCAGGAGTGCCCAAATACCGGGACACTGACGTGGACCGTGGACGAAAATATTGTTACCGCATCCGAGCAGTGACGTCAGAGGGAACAAGTGAAGCGATGGAGACTGATGAAATGCAGGCTGGCAAGTTTGGTAAGCAAAATGAAGATTCACACGATAATCATCTCTGTCCACATACAATTACATAAAAAAGTATTGCTCTGTTCACCAAAAGCACAATTTGAATGTGGAAGAGGTGCAAACATCACTTTTTGAAAATACTCGTTGTTGTGTATAAACGGGATCTTAGAGTGTGTGTGTGTGTGTGTGTGGGGGGGGCGTGGAGGGGGGCAGAACTTTCAGCCTTTTCAGTCACAATACCGTGAAACAAGCATTAGCCACTTTGGACAAGATGATTTTAAATCTCAAGAAGTCCTCAATATATTTATTTTCCACTTATTTCTGTTGGAATAGATAAGCAGCATAGTTCACTACAGTGAAAATTAAAAAGTAACAACACTTTAATGAACTGCAGTGCATTCTCATGACTCATTCCTTTTGTTTTGCTTTCAAATAATCAGATTTCAAGATTAATCATTCCTCAAACTTTCTAAAGGACTTAAAAAAAAAAAAAAATATATATATATATATATATATATATGGACTTGGGCTGCGTTCTTTCTAATTCTGTAAGGAATCCATGAACCTGATCATAACAACATATGGTGCAGGTCATGCTTAAAATATGAGTAATGTAGAAAGCAAACCAAGAGATTATAAAGAAAACAAATCTACAGCAGGTCGGTCCCGGGAAACAAAGTATTGCCAAATAAAACATGGGTGCTTTAAATTTTTTGCACAGTTCTGTACATCTACATATTTAATATGATTTGTACAGTAAATGGAGCATACACAGTATGAGCCAACATGTGATATCTTTACATACAATTTGTTAAACTGTTAACATAGGATGCCTCTGAGCAAGCAGCTCACCCTGGTTCAAATCCTGGAAACGGGTCTTTCTGGGTGGAATTTGCATGTTCTCTCCGTGCATGCGTGGGTTTTCTCCGTATACTCCGGTTTCCTCCCACAGACCAAAAACATGCATGTTAGACTGATTGGTGACTCTAAATTGTCCCTAGGTGTGAGTGAGAGAGTGAATGGTTGTTTGTCTTATTTGTTTCTGTGTTCTTGGGATGGACTGGAGACCTGTCCATGGTGTACCCTCTCTCACACAGTGATGGCTGGACATGGGCACTGGTGACCTCCGAGACCCGAAAAAGGAAGAAGTGGGCAAAGATAATGGATGGATGTTAGATAGGGAGCAATATGCTAATAACATATGCCGACATGGTTAATGATGTAATCACAAACAATTCTTGTTGATCTAAAGCGTAAGTGATAGGCTGTTTTGGCTCATTAAACTATTCCAACTATCAAATAATATCTGGAGTTTACAATACCAGCATCTTTTTTTTTAATCTGTTTGGACTCTAAATAGTTTTTATAAAAATTGATATCTTTATTCTGAAACCTTATCTGAATCTTTATTCTACATCTGGACCTGCCATTCTGTGTTCGTTTGTGTAGTGAACTAGGCCTGAGGTCAAATCCTGACCTTAAGGACCTTATGGGACAGAAACTGTCATTTCATTGATTTGAATCCAGAAATACAGGTTGACCCATCCTAAGACTTTCTTTCTTGAATTAATCAAGTGAAAGAAGACTACTTTCGATTATCATTACTATTTTACAAATGTTTGATAATCAAATTGTGTTAGTTCAAACAATGTTTAAATGTTGAAGTGAACTACTCATTTTTAAATCAACTGTGAAACAGTAATAACGATTTTTAATCCTCATTCAAAGTGGAAATCAAGTTGGAATATGTTACAGAGTAATGATTCAATTTCTTGATCGTCTGTTTGAAATGAGCAAGTGGTGTAAGTCGGTCAAAGTTCAAGTTTCGGTCAACTGCAAGTTTACTGAAAAAGAAATGTCATGTTTAACTTTTACAGCAAGATACTAGAGAATTGACTCCACGAAGTCTGAGTTCTTCATAATATCTTCTGTCTGTTCTTAAACAATCTTAATCTTTTTCCTTGACTTTTCATAACACCTTACATCACAAAACACACCTCTGTTTTGGTCCATCGACCAATCAGAAACTCCCAAATGAACCGGAAATAGAGCTCTTTAAATGTCGGTACTTCCTAGTTCAACCCAGTTGAAGTCGGGTGGAGAGTTTGCAGCTCCAGTCGTTTGGGAGAACAGAAGTCCAGCATGATCCAGAGCTCTTCCGAGTCTTATGGGGATTATGACATCTTCCACCTCTGAGTGGAACTTCTGAAGGACTCCACTCATGTGAAGTCCACTCGTGAGGTGAACTGTTGTTGATGAAGTCCCGCCACCACTCCGGACGGTTCTCTGCCATCCTACGGAGACGTTGGACCGGTAGCTTAACTGGAGCTCCGCTTCCACTGATTCATCGTCAGAGAGGTAATGAGTCGAGTTCACTACCGAGAGTACCGAGGAAAGCTGGGTCGAATGGAGGGTGCCGTTCTGTTCAACACTTTTCACTCACACACACACCATCTCCCTCCCTCTAAACTTCAATCTTTAAACTCTTCTATCAGCTAGCAAATTAATCCAGATATTTCCAGAAATGTCTGTTGTGAAGTTTTTCAACCATCGCCGTATGGTTAATGTCTGTTGTACTGCTGGAAGTGAGAAAACAATCGCCGTATTGTTTCCTCCTTGTAAAACTTGCTAAATTAGCCATGTTGTTATAAATCATTTTGCCAAATTAATGTAAATGTGTGATGTGTTTAAATCGTTTTTAAATAAATGACCCACTGTCGTTGGTGAGTCAAAGATAAACACGTTTCTGTCCACATTTTATTAAATTCAATGCACGTACATTATACAGTCCAGAAAAATGAAAGAATCCATTTAATTTATGAATATATATCAGCATATGTTCATCTACATTTGTTTCTCCTTCTTGTCCTCTCAAACCCAGCCGGTCAAAGCAGATCATCACTCGTCCTGAGTCTGGTTCTGCTGGAAGTTTATTCCTGTTAAAAGGGAGTTTTTCCTTCCCACTGTTGCCATTGTGCTTGCTCAGGATAGTATACTGCGACAAAATGAAGACTCAACGAGTCTGCAGGCTTCCTTCCTGAGAAAAATGAGTTTTACTAAATGGCAAAGTCCATGCTCAATAATCCAGGTATACAATCCAACATTTTTCAGTCAGGTCATCTGGACAGTTTCTTTTTTTGTGCTGAAATGTTTCACCTTCGATCCCGAAGGCTTCATCAGTCAAGGAAACACACAACAAAACTGATTCTTCCCCCAACAGCTTACTCCAAAGTGGAACAAACCAGTTCTGCTTGTGATAAGATGGTCTCTTTGGTACGCCCCTCCTCCATTGCCGGCTCTCTTCCTTGTTGACAGTCATGTCAAACTGGTTGAAAACAACAAAGTCAGTTTTGAATCAGTTTTATTGTGTGTTTCCTTGACTGATGAAGCCTTCTGGATTGAAGGCGAAACTTTTCAGCCCAAAAAAGAAACTGTCCAGATGACCTGACTGAAAAATGTTGGGTTTTACTAAATGGCTTTTGTGTGCATGTGAGTGTTTTTTTTTACAGTGTCCTGAGACAACTTCTGTTGTGATTTGGCACTATATAAATAAACTGAATTGAAGTGAATTGAAAGCACTAGGGTAAAAATATTGTTCTGTCTTTTATAATATAAAATAATAAAAAAACAGTAGTTTTAGTACCTGAGCTGAACTGCATCAAAAGGATGGTCTCACTAAGATGTTAACCACAACAGTCCAATTTGTTTCACTTTTTCAGCTTTTCCAGGTCCGCCAGCACCTCCCAAAGTGGTCAGTGCTTTTAATGACTGCGTAAACCTTTCATGGGTTTCACCAGCTAACACCGGGGGGTCTCGCATTCTTGGCTACATTTTGGAGAAACGTAAAAAGGGGAGTAACCTCTGGACTGCTGTGAATGCATCGGAAGAGATAATAAAAGGTATGAATGTTCAGCTTTACTGCAGCTGAAGGGGATGTTCCTACATGAAATTGCATTGATATTTCTCTTGTTTGCTTCCTCTCAAACTGCTCCTAGAGAAGAAATATGCAGTGAAGGATGTTGTGGAAGGGATGGAATATGAATTCAGGGTTTCTGCTATAAACCTCTCAGGCGCGGGGGAGTTCAGCAACCCTTCAGAGTTTGTTTTCGCCCGAGATCCTAAAAGTAAGTCTAGCAATTGTTCCTTTGCTATAATAACAAACTGAACATAATGAAACAACACACGTGTTTAGCACTGTGTATATTTGTTAAAACTAACTGTTTTATCTGTTTAATTAAACACTTCAGAGCCTCCTGGAAAAGTACTGAGCCTGAAGGTGACAGAAACGTCTTACACCAACATGGTCGTGAGTTGGACCAAACCTGCGGAGAAGCCAGGCGAGCAGGATGAAGCTAAAGGATACTTTGTTGAGATTCGGCGGGCCGATTGCATTGAGTGGTCCCGCTGCAACAGCACCCCCATCATCATGACGTCCTTTAATGTGAAAGGCCTTAAGTTCATGGATATGTACTGGGTGAGAGTCATTGCTGTGAATGATGGAGGAGAGGGTGCACCTGAGGAGCTGCCCAGATATGTTCTGGCAATGCCTTTGCCTGGTATGTCAACATCTAGTTTAAATGGATAGTTTAAATCATTTTTAAGTGGGATTTAGTGAAAAGCTTGACAATTGGTATCTTACTTGTTGCAGATAGCTTTTTGAACAGCCTTAGTTTGGAGAAATAAAGTTTAAACAGGTCTTTCTTGAAAATGAGTTCTCGTGGCTCAATGAGACTACCTGGTTAAATAAAGGGTAAATGAAAAAATTAAAAAAATTAATTCTGACGTACCGGTACTACGTGTGTTGGTCTGAGCAAAGCCAAGGTAAATTGCCATCTTAAAAGTATTAAAATCTTGGAAATTTCCTAATGGATTTTATGAAAAGTATCTTTTAAACTTTTATATAGCTGGCAGTTTTGCATTACACAGACATACCTGCAAAAAATATAGATAGTTCTCCAGTAAGTGCAACAGAGGGGCTACAGCTAGCCACTGCTACTTGTGCTTTTCAATAATCGTAACTTTATATATATATATATATATATATATATAAAACCATCTATAATAAAACTGACAGTGATGTCCCACAACACATTTCATGCAAGAAAACAATCCAATGTGCTTTCCAAATGAGAACAGAAAACTAAAGGAAGAACATAGACCTACGAATGCATGAAAGGACTTAAATATAAATTAAATTAAAGTGATTAAAAACACTTGTACAGAAATGTGAATTTATTGAATTTGAATGTAAATACACAGTCATGCACACATATTCTCATACACAGAATCATGGAAGTGATAACTCAGCTGCAAAATTTTTAGCACATATTTTATATAACTATGCCATGACGTAAATGTTTATATACAAGTAATTCCATTAAATTTAGATTCTGCTCATCATGAAAAGAAGGGACTGTGCAGCTTTCTAGTACTTGTGTTTATATGAACAGTTGTAGGTTGTTAACAGAACATAGTTTGAGGCCTATAAAAAAAGCCATAAAATAGTACAATATACTTTATCATAAATGGGTTATTTACTTTTGTTTCATCAAAAATGTGATACAAACGCTTGACAAATAATAAAAACACACTTTAGTAATATGTTTGATGAAACTTTACAGTCACAGTCAAAAATTGCTGTTTTTTTGTTTTTTTTAAGGAATAGTGACAAAAAACTGAGAGGAGATGAGTTTCTCATCTTTGAGTCTTTGCAATAATAGAATAGAATAGAATAGAATAGAATAGAATAGAATAGAATAGAATAGAATAGAATAGAATAGAATAGAATAGAATAGAATAGAATAGAACAGAACAGAACAGAATAGAATAGAATAGAATAGAATAGAATAGAATAGAATAGAATAGAAACATACTTTTTTGTCCCGCGAATGGGAAATTCGAGGAATTAGTATTTCTCTTTATTTATAAGATGTTTGTGACATTTATACAATAATATCAGTTGTCCAAGGGGATATAGATATTCCAAATAATCAGACGATTAAAAAATTGTAAATCATCTGCATAAATACAGTAGTTTATATTTTGCTTTTGAATGACATGTTAAAGTGGGAGTGTATGAAGACTGAATGAAACAGGACATTAGGGCACACCACAAACACCCACCTTGGTCTCACACAGACTAGATATTAGCTCATTAACCCACTCAAAATTAAATTTCACTTTTCCAAATTAAGGCCGTTCAAAAAAGCTGTCTGCAACAGGTAAGATGTTAACTGTTCATAACATTTACACAGAGCCCCCTATCAAAAGACCTGGACTTCAACTTTGTGGAGCCCTTAAAACATAAAGGAAGTGGCGCAATTGTGGCGTTTGAAGAAAATGCTGAAATGTTGTTTTTTTTCTTGTTAAATACCTTCTGTGTATACATTTCTGTCTGGTTCAGCTTGTTTTTTTGTTAAAGTTACAAAATATATACTAATACAAAGTTGTTTGGATTAATTTAGTGAGGCCAAAGTTCACAAACAACAAGATGAAGAGTTTCATGGTGGTGAGGGCGGGAAACTCTGTGAGGATCACGGTAAACTTCGAGGTGAGATTCATCCTTCATGCAATTGTTAGATTCTGCGACGAGCCTTGTTTTGGTTACATTACATTAATTTCTAAACTCTATGCTTGTTTTACAGGCCTCTCCTGTGCCAGAGGTGACGTGGTCAAAAGACAACGTGCCTGTGGTAAAGCGTGTTACGATCAGTAACTCGGATGGCTCGTCTCAGCTGCTGATCCCCACTTCTGAGCGCTCAGATTCAGGCATCTACTCCATCTTGGTGAAAAATTTTGCCGGACAAGAAACATTCAGCACAGAGGTTAGGGTAACAGGTAAACCTAAACCTTTTTTTTCTGCAGTATAGAGTTTAAATGTCTTTAAATGGATTTTACGCAAGTGTAAAATTGTCAAATCTTTGTTTCCAGATGACCCAAAGCCTCCTGGACCTGTGGAGCTGGAGGAAAGCGTGCCTGGTACTGTGACGGTGATCTGGAAACCTTCTCCTGACGAGAAGCGTGATGATCGCCTTCACTACATGGTGTCCAAACTGGACTCAACCAAACACACATGGACCACAGAGGCTGACAGGCTCTTCAATAACAAGTTTACAGTTTGCAATATAATGCAGGGCAGGGAGTATCACTTCCGGGTGTACGCCAAAAACGACATGGGCATATCAGAACCCTCAGAGTCACCAACATGGGGTATGGAGAAGAAGAAAGGTGTGCATGTGTTCCTTACACAGTTACAACGTCCTAAATGTTTCATTTTCCTAGATGGAAAAAAAAAAAACTTTTGTCATCTTTTACAGAAAAACGTGTCAGAACTGAACCGATAATAAAGGACTGGGATTTGCGATGTTCACCGACGTTCATCGTTCCTCTGAAGCTTCAAACTGCAACTGCTGGTTACGAATGCTACATGAGCTGTGCAGTGAAGGGAAACCCCACACCGCGCATCACATGGTATCGAAATCATGTCAGTCTAAACACTGATACCAACTATTACATCTCCAACATCGTTGGAGTTTGCTCGTTGCTGATCCTCCGTGTGGGGCCCAAAGACATGGGGGAGTACAACGTTGTTGCAGAAAACAGCTTAGGACGAGTCGAATGCTCCACGGTGCTCAATGTCAAGGGTGAGATGGGACAAAACTGATCTTAAAGCATACATGAGGAGGGGAGGTTGTGTAATTTATTTCTTATTTTTTGTTGTTTTTCTCACACAGAGTGAAGAAGCTGGTGGCATCTCTGATTATGTATTCGACACGTGCTGTGCTACTTAACATGCAGATGTTACACTGCTTTTTTATGAAACAGCTTGTGAACTTGAACTACAATGGTTTGACTACTGAGATAATATTCCTGTTAGCTTACACAAATCACTGTTTTCAATTAAAAATCCACAGTTTTATTATCACGTAGAGTCTTGCCAGTTGAATTTTGTTATTATTTTTTGATAATGTTAAGTCAATATGTTTTCCTTCTCGAGCTTTTAACTGATGATTATGTATTCTGACCTGTAATCATGATATAGTCTGTGTCATTTAATGTGTGTTGCAAGAATGTTGTATTTTGTTGTAAATGTTTAGAAAATGTTATATTCATGAACCTAAGGGCATTGTGATTTCCTGCAGATAAGAAGCCATTAGATGAGTCAATAGATTAATGAATCTTGTGACCCATCGTTGTGACTTCAGTTCTAGGCAGTGGGGCAGTCTTCACCCATGGGCTCCTGATGCACACAGGACCCCAATCAGAGGGTTCCTGGAACCTGATTGGACTCGTGGGTTGGCACTTGTGCAAATGAGAAACCTCAGAAGACATAAAATCAGTTTGTAAATGTCACAGGGTACAACTTCCTCCTTTAATCAAAAAAATGGGCAACCTGAAATTGCTCATTATGTTTTGTCTTTATTTCCTTTTTTTTATTATTCCATTTATTTGTTTTGTTTAATATATGCTGCAAAAGACACTTTCTTGTTTAATTCTTCATCTACATCGTCTCAGAAAATCAACACCAATGACAAAAAATAAAATAAAATAATAAAGTTTTTAATTGTGTTTTTAGGTGTTTGACTTGTTTTTTTTTTCAACATAGATTTTGTTTGGTGAAATTTGGATCATTTGCTCATATAAAAACAAAAAAATTCAGTATAATCTGTTAGAAAAGTTTCAGTCAGGGTTTAGAGCTCACCATAGCACAGAAACAGCACTGGTGAAAGTTACTAATGATATTCTCATGGCCTCTGACAATGGCCAGGTGTCTACTGTTAGACCTCAGTGCTGCATTTGATACAGTTGATCATAATATTTTACTACATAGACTTGAATATGATATTGGGATTACAGGAACGGCTCTGAAGTGGTTTAAATCAAAGATTCCAATTTGTAAATATAAATAATGAATCTACTTCATACACCAAAGTTAGTTATGGAGTTCCTCAGGGTCCATTGGTTGGAACAATGCTCTTTCTTATATATGCTTCCATTAGGTAATGTTATTAAACAGCATGGGATAAATTTCCATTGTTATGTTGATGATTCAGTTAAGCATGAAACCCAATTAATCCAATCAACTACTAAAACTACAAGCATGTCTTAAAGACATAAAAACCTGGATGACCTTAAATTTTCTGCTTTTAAACTCAGAAAAGACAAAGGTTGTGGTTTTTGGACCTGAGCATTTTAGGAACAAATGTTTCAGTCTTTCACTTTCTCTGGATAACATAAATTTGGCCTCCAGTTCTAAAGTTAAAAATCTTGGTGTTATTTTTAATCAGGAAATGTCTTAACCCTCACATTAAAAATGTTACTAGCACCGCCTTCTTCCACTGCGTAGTATCACTACAATTGAAACTATCTTGTCCAAAGATTCACAGAGAAGAGATCAGAGCATATCAGATGTAAAAAAAAGGGTCTGATAAAACAAAGTTCTTATTTTAATTACTTTTTTTTTTCATCTTTTCTTATTGGCTTTGTAATCTCAGTCCAGATTGTAAAAGAGCAACTGAAGGACTGTCACATTGTGCACAGACGCACTGGACGCTTGGTGCCAGCAGCTTCAAGAGTGTGCGCTGCTGAAGGGAGGGGGGGAACCCCCACCACCACCACCTCCCACCCTCATTTAGTGGACTAAGAGTCTACCTCCTGTACACACCACCTCCTCTCCCAGCCTTCAGCTCAGCCTCTATCCGGTTGTTCCCTGAATGAAGCTGAACCTTCCTCCAGCCTCTGAAGTAAAGCTGCCTCCTGAGCCTGCAGACTGTGTCTGCACCTCCCTGGAACACTGTGTCCTCCTCAGCAGGAAGAAAAAAAAAAAACTGAAGAAAAATGACAGCCAAACATCGAAAAGGAAAGAGCAACCACAAACAGGAGGAGAACTTTTTGAAAAGTGAACTCCTGGAGACCGAAGTTCGCCCTGCAGTGAACAACTCCACTCCTCTGTTGGTTCTAGTTCTGATTGTTGTCATCGGCGGAGTCACTGGCGCATGGATCTGTTTCCAGCAGCACCAAACTTTAACCTACTTAACAGACAACCTCATGGGCATCCAGATGAAAATAGCCAAGCTGCAGTCTTCTCATGAAGAGCTGCAGCTGACCAACACTCAGGTAAGGAGTTAAAAACATCAACGTTCTCTTGGAGGATGTTCTTGTCTTTTCATTTCTTTCCAAAATATAAGAGAAAATCCTCAGAGCACGAGTTGACAGTTGAAACCTCAGCTCTGCAGGCCTCGGTTAGGTTTCAAAATGTCAAGAGCCTCAGTGAGCACAAAACGCTGCTATTTCTAACATCCACACAGCTGCTGGTGCTTTTTATCCACACCAACAGGACACACGCTCAACCCTGACTTCATGAGTCTTTACAATGTGAAGCCTTTTTTTGATACAAGTATTGCTAGTCATAAAACAAAAACACAGAGCTGTGTGTTCAGCCTGAACAATCAGAAACAGGACAGAAATGTGCCAAGGTTAAATTTAGTCTGACTTTGATACCAAACACCAGTGCAGAGGCAGTGCAGGCCTAGCTCTGTTGCTAACACTCAGCTAAATTCTAGTTCTGTGTTATGAGTAACTTGCTCAGAAGACTGTAGAAAATAAAATTAAAATGCTTTGGAGGATTGCATGCCCAGGTTTCAAACAGATGTAGCTCAATCTGTTTTAAGTCAAGTCAAGTCAAGAGTAGTTTATTCAGGATTATAAGACCTTCCGGCCGAAAGTTCCACAAAATTACTCAATAGGTCAATACCAGGTCTCAAACGTGCAAGTATTTATCACAGCATGAGCCTATCACAACTTTACCTATACACATTTATACGTGCACATATGAAATACATATGTATTTCTAGCTTTGGAAGCCTCATAGCTGTACACCCCAAGAAACATTGTTGTTGCAGGATGTAATGGCATACAGATTGATAGCATAACTGACCTATCCTTGCTATTTGCATATGATTTGGCAAAAGCATCACACACTGTTTTTAGACTACAGAAGCATATCTGTGTTATGGAAACTTTTATAAATTGTATGGTATGATGGTAAACCTTAACAAAACAAAAAAATATGGTGTTTAGGGGAAGTGTGGTCAACAAATGTAAGAAATTATACTTTGAAGGTGAAGCAATTGAAGTACTCACTGGATACAAAAATACTTAGCTCAATCTGTTAGTCCCCTGAGTTTGTTTTGAGGATGTCTCCCAACTACTACCACATCAAATTCTTGCTCCAAATCTGTTAAAATGACTGAATTATAGCCAGTGTGCTAAGATTAGCTGTGGCAGGGATAATCAGTCAGATTGGCTCTAAGCAAACTCCACTTCACTGCAGCCATCTTGACCTAAAGCCCCCCTCGTGTGTCTCGTTGCAGCAGCACATTCCAGACAATGTGGAGACCCGCCTGAGCGCCCTTGAAGAGTCCTACACACTGGCTAAGAAACAGGTGGGTGCGGCCTTGTCCACAGCCGAGCAGCTCAAGACCTCCAACCTCCCTGCCCAAGTGCTGTCCCTTCACACAGAGATGAAAGCCCGCCTGGCAGAAATGGAGAAGGCCACCGTGTCTCTGGAGCAGCTGAACAAGCTGCAGAGCACGCTGAACGGGAAGAGCGAGGAGTTTGAGGATGTCAGGGTGCAGATGGAGGGTTTGACCACTCTGAGCAGTGAACTATCCCAGAAGGTTGAGACCATTGCAGTGAACCTGGCAGAGGTAGAGTCAAAGCTGGACAAGAAAGTGGGTGAGATTGCCACTCTGAGCTTCACTCTGGATGAACAGGCCACCAAGGTGCTCAGACTCAAGCATCAACTGGATATTTACCGGGCTCAGCTTGAGGCCAACCTCCTGGAGATGGCTGCTGTCAGGTAGCTTATAGAAAAAATAAAATAAAATAAAATAAAACAACTTTTGGATAAGCTGAGAAATAGCTCACATCTCCTGACCCAGAACTTTATGTTGACTTAATAAAAGCCCTGTTGGCTGCCATTATCTGTTTAGCTTTGGTACTCTGAGACCAGTGTTGTTACATGTCAAAATCTCCTGACCAGTATAAATAAATCCCGTGTTGATGACTTTTGAAGTCCAATAGTTTGCCTAGAATTGTTTCACACTTAAGATAAACAATCTTTTAAAAGTGTGTAATCTGCAGCATGTGTTTTAAAATCTTGTAGTTTTGTGTCTTTTACAGCTACGATAGCAATAATATGGTTTGCAATTTTACTAAGACAAATTATCTGCTATAGTTGTGATTATAATAGTGGAAAACAAGTGGCGTTCATATCAAATATGCTTACTGTGTAAACGTTGTGTCTTTCAGAGAGCTGCTTGAGAATGAACAGTCCCAGCAGCTGCAGAAGGCTCATGGAGATGAAACGCTGTATGCGGTATGTCAGGGTCTGTGATCTGAAGTCCGCAGTCCACTGTCAGTTTAACTGAAGGACAAACTGGTTACAAACACATTTTATAAAAGACAAAGACATGTAGCCTGAAGATTCAGCTAAGATCTCACTGGGCTGATTGTTGGCAGCTAGCTGCCCAACTGCGTTCCCAATGGAGTTTCCAAAATGTCTCTAAATGTTTGCAGGGGATCTCAGTTCTCCTCAGGTGACTTGAGGCTCACAGCCTTGATGCTTGGCTTTAAAACATGCCACTGTCATCACAAACCCTTCTCATCTTAGTTTATCACAGATCTAGAGCACTAAAGCTGTATTTTACCACCTGCACAAAAACTCTCTTCAGGAGAGAAAACTGAGTTTACAGCTACAATTGTTCAGATCTAACGAGCACGGTGGTAATAAATATTATTTTATAAACCAGTTGAACAAATCAGATGTGGCTGCTAAGGTGTGCACAAAGTGGACCGAGGTGGGTACAATGTATGCAGAAGTGGGCAATGGAATAATGTGCACAACCTACAGTATGATTTTCCAAGCTGTGCATGTGACTTTTAAAAATGGCTTACAGAAAATGAGGTTATGTGGATCACTTGTTACTCAGAATTCAGAGAGCCTGCAACAAAAAATTGGCCCATTTTCCTACATGTGAGTCACCAACTAGTCTCCAACAGTTGTATCCAGGTGCGTAACAAACAACACAAGGTCTGCAGGTGGTGCAACAAACCAGTGAAACTGTAATGTTTCTATTTCATTTATAATTATATTAATTATTATTATCATTATTATTATTATTATTATTATTATTATTATTATTATTATTAATTATTTTCCAGTTGAAAGTTCTGACCATGAACACATAAATAATTTGGTGCACCAGAAGTGATGACAATTTTAACTAATTGAATTTCACTTCATTTATGAGGTCATTTGACTGTTCTTGCTGACATATTGCTTATGAAACATTGGACTGACAGCTCTTTGATTTAACATGCACACTACAGAGCTGTGTTTATAGTAAAAATACATAATAATATAATAATAAAATACATAGAATTCTGTCAAATCTGTTTATTTTTCTTATCTGATCTTGACATTCTGAAACCTGCCCTCTCAGTGACTACTCTTACAAATTCAATTGAAATGACAATATTTATTTTACAGGCTATCATACCGTATATAAAATAATCATTGAATAGAACCAAAGTTTGTTACCTAAATCCAATTAGCACTTGTGCATATTTGCAGAGGGCTGCACAATTCATTTCAAATTTATCATCACTGTAAAATCATTGTCACACAGGACTGCTTAGACCGCAAAAAGAAGACAGGCTCTCACATTCCAAGTGTTATTCATGTTATTTATGCTGATAATTGTTTTGCTGATCATATAGATTATCGCCACCCTCCTGCCCGCACCTGGTTTATAGGATAATGGCTGAGATGCTAAAACACACAGATTTGTAAATGATGATTGGACAGAAATAGAGGAGTCAGAAAAAAAAGCACATTTATTGCAACATATATCTATATTTCAATATTCAACAATAGTGTAATAGTCATGTTTTTAATACTTTGTACATTTAGCTCAAACAAATGTGATAGAAGCAATTGATTATAGTTAGATTTTTTTTTTTTTTAAATGGCAGAACGTGCCTGATTCACACACATAATGTAGCTGTTAATGGACTCTTTACTATTTCTGCACCAGGTAATTCCCTCAGAAAGCCATAACGAGATTTCCATGTCATTATCTGAGGGAGCTTATTGCTCAGTGGATCACATGTACTCCTACGTTACATTCATCCAACCCAAATCCCTCCTTTTTATGAGACCCCTGGATGTCTGAAAACGTATTCATCTTGTGCTGTTCAGACACTTTACTTTGATGTAACTCTGCTTTCCATGTCTTAGCTGGTGGACAAAAACAAACCTGCTGCTGAGCCAAGTGAGCAGAGGGAGGAAGAGGAAGCTGCAGTGACTGAAGAAGAAAAGGTGGTTGATACAAGTGAGGAGGAAGATGATGCTGCAGCTAAAGAAGAAGCTGTTGGAACTGAACAAGAACCAGCTATTGAAACATCTGAAGATGAAGAAGCCACTGCTGCAGCTGAAAGTGAGGATGAAGAGGCAGCAGCTGTAACTCAAGAGGAAGAGTCTGAAGCTAAAGCTGCAATTGAGGAAGAAGAGGCAGCAGCAGCTGTAACTGAGGATGAAGAAGATGAAGATGTAGCAGCTGT